TATCTACTCATGTGTGAACTTTATCTGCTGATGTGCTGTAGTAAGAAAAAAAAGAGTTGAAACCAGAATTACAAATTTTCTGAAAATCCGACCTACAGAGTGCTGCCCCTGCCATCAGCCAAGGGAGTCCCTGGGCAAAGGTGACCTCATGATAGGCCCCCTTACTTCCTCTTTCTCAGGGAGGTGAGGGTCTTATTTGGAGGAGGGTTCATCAGGTGAGCAGAGAGAGGAGGCCTGGGTGGTGTCAGAAGCTAAGTAGAAACCCTGAGTGTGTACTGAGGGGACTGCCCACCCAGAACACAGGAGATCCCACAGAGCTCCACCCCTGCTGTCAGTCCTCTGAAGTCCTGGTGGGGGGATAGTCACCTGGATTCCAGGACCCCGTGGGCACACTTCCCTCTGCTGACCTGAGGCCACCCCACTCAGACCAAGGCCCTCCACCTCTCTGAGACCCACAAGGAAGAAGTGAGGGAGTGTGACTTCTGGCTCCCTCTGCCTAGGGCCTCCAGGGTTACTCATATGAATGACCCATTTTCTGATGTTGCAGAGGAATCTACAAGGTATACGATGAACAATCCATGTTCACTACTATCCACAGCCATCTGGTATTGTTGGAGATTGGAATGGGCTCAAATACTGGCTTGAAAAGACTCAGGAAAGCAAACAACTGATTAAAAACTGGTCAAATGATCTGAACAGATATCTCAAGGAAAATCTGTAGGTGGCAAGTAAGCCTATGGAAAGATGGTCAGCGCCATCTGTTATTAGGAGTTGCAGATTGAAACAACAATGAAATAACACTACACACCTATTAGAATGTGAAAATCCAAAACACTAACAACACCAAACGCTGCTAAGGAGGTGGAACAGCAAGGCCTCTCATTGCTGGTGGGAACACAAAATGGTAGCCCACTTGGAAGACAGTTTGGTAGTTTCTTACAAAACTCAACAACCATATAATCCAGCATTCATCCTCCTTGGTATTTACCCAAATGAGTTGAAAACTTATGTCCACACAAAAACCTACACACAGTTTATAGCAGCTTTATTCACAGTTGTCAAAACTTGGAAGTAATAAAGATGTTCTTTAATAGGTTAATGGATAAATAAACTGCTACATTGATATAATGAAATGTTATTCGGTGCTAAAAAGAAATACTCTATCATAAAGTAATGAAAAGACATGGAAGAGGGGCGCCTGGGTGGCTCAGTTGGTTAAGCGACTGCCTTCGGCTCAGGTCATGATCCTGGAGTCCTGGGATCGAGTCCCGCATCGGGCTCCCTG